CCCTTCATGTTGTCAAAGGAAATATGCAGACCATAGTACAGAACAACTATAAACAGAAATGCATGTGTCTTGCCTTGTAGAACTATTGCATTAACTTCAAAGGAATCAGTCTCAACATCAGGTGATACAATGGTGGCAGTGGTGTTTCAGTACAGAGCTCTAATTGCCACAACAGTCATGAGGATAGAATATAGAACTAGAGGATTTTGAACATGAGATCTCTGTTGATGGAATCAGATGCCTTGTGAAAGTCTTCAAAACCGATTGTGACCTCTTTGTTGAATTTTTTCTTCATTTCCACTATGTGGCGAATGGAAAGAATTTGATCACTTGACAACCTGCCTCTTCTAAATCTATTCTGATTCTTGCAGGGGCTCAGATCAATGGTAGGGTTAATAGTTAACAGAAGCTTATTGTAAACTTTTGCTGCAACTAGAATGTACCCCTATAGTTTGCTGCACTTGTTAGATTGTCCCTTTTTTGGAACAGGGATTATTCCACCCTTCAGTAAAGGTAAAGAATGTTGTATGAACAGGTGCTTGCAAAATGGAGGGGGGGCACAGCCATAGAAGATCTTTTGAAGGATGAAATATATTAGATAATTTTTTCGTTTTGTCATTCAATTACCCACCGTTATTCTGACATATACTGTGTACGATGTATAAATTGTCATCTAAATTAGGCAAAAATCAAAATAATATTGACATCTCATTTTAATGGATACTAAAGAGTAAATTTATTCAATAAAATCGCCATTGGCTCAAAACATGGCTTCCAGATGTCTCTGGAATCAACTGCAATTCTTCTGGATGGTCTCCTTGATTTAGTGAACGCTGCCATAATCCTTGCCTTCAGTTCATCTTTGGTACTACAAGGAGTTTTGTTGGTCTCTCACTCAACTGTGACCCACACATAATAAACAAGGACATTGCAGTCTGGCGAATTAGGTGGCCAGATGTAAGCAGTGATGTGGTTGCAGAAACTGTCTGACAGCCATGTCTGGATTCTCCTGCTTATATGGCATGGTGCAGAGTCCTGTTGCCAGACATAGGATCTTCCAGCAGCCACCCTCTTGACCCAAGGCAGCACTACGTCCTCAAGGCACTTGATGTATGCCTCTATGTTTAGTCTGAGGACCTGTGGGAAGATGAATGGAGGCATAACGTCATTATCACTAGTGATGACACCAAACACCTTTGTAATCACCATTAGACATATCCAACTCGTCTGTACTGTCTAAATTCTCTGCACTGTCCTTAGATTGACAGTCAAACATTTTGAGATGTTTGTATTGAGGCTTCCACCATAAATGCTAAGCAGTATAGCATGCCGTTTCCTAATTTCTGGGGAAGTGAATTGCATCATGGTTCTCTTTTTCTCAAGGATGGTGCCCAACTGAACTTACTATTTTGTGCAGTCAGCAAAATCAAAAACAAACAATGCTCATGAGTGAAATTAAAAATATAAAATGGTGACAATTTACCCATCGCACCATACAGAGTTTGTATATCATATACTTCCATATTGTTGCCCCAGAAATTCATATGTTTGGGAAGTCAGGCCCAGACGTTTACTAATCCAAAACATTTAATTCTGTACAAATATTTACAATTCTACTTTTCCTTGTAGTTAACATCGAGATTAAAACACTTATCATGAGTATAGGCTTATCGTCTTTGAAGAACTATATTTGCACCACTGCAAATTTATCTGTGTGGAGTAGCTTCCTGGTTTGAAAGGAGACACAAACAACTGGTAATCTGGAGGAGCTTGTTATGGATGATTTGATAATACATACAGTAAAACATTCCAAACACATCACTGGATTCAGTCTTTTGTTAAGTTAGTCATATGTAGGTAAGCATAAGTAACACATCCAATTTACACACACACTACCTCCAACCCCACAACCAGCATAAATAAACACTCTATAGGTTATTACCCTAAATAGCATTCAGCATCAGACAGTATAAAAAGAAACTGTCAGTTTTATTCCTAAATGCAATCTTCAGGCCAACTGTCACTATTAGATTATCAGGTTATATATATAGGTCATTGAATGATTGAAGAAAGAATGGGAAGGAGGAAACCAGTTTGTATTAGTTCTTTTGTTTAGAACAAATACTAAGAGTCATTTACAGTCATGACACCTAGCTACTAGGTATTATTTTATTAAGTCATATATTTCATTTATTTATTTGTATGTTTTTAGTTTACCTTACCATATTCCCAGGATGAAAATAGATTTGTACTTTTCTTGAAAGCATTAGAGCAAAACTGAATGCAACAGACTAAGCCTGACAATGGGTGAATTAACCTAGCAGCCTTATATATATATATATATTTTTTATTTTTAAATAGTATGATTCCATCGCTACACAAGAATTACCATGTTTCAAAAACAAAAGCTAAAAACTTCCAATTCACTTATAGAAATTAAATTAAAGTACCTAGTTGTTTCATTTTGAAGCGAATTTTGGAATCATTCCAAAATTCGCTTGAAAATGAAACAGAATCTAGGGACTTCAGTTTAATTTAATTTCAATAATTGAATTGGAAGTTTTATCTTTTTTTTGTCCTAACAGATGAAATGCACCGCAAATAAACTTTTTCCATTTTGTCTTACAATTTCTTCAATACTGTTTTGTGATGTATAAAAATATATATTGCTATACCATATCATATATATATATATATATATATATATATATATTTTTTTTTTTTTAAGCATATCACCCCAAGCAAAGGCGGGCAGGAAGCCATATATATATATATATATATATATATATATATATATATATATATATATATATATATATATACGGTAGATATGCCAGAAATGAGAACACACACACACATTGCAGTTCTTTACACCTCATTGGATTGTGTTGTTGTCAAAGTTAGAAAGATAAGAGGATATAAAATGGCAGACAGAAGATTAGGAGGAGATATCAGTCAGATATACAGGATAATAATGAAATAAGACAAATTCTATTACCTGTTTGACTCTATATTTTGTATCACACGCACAGATGCAAGCACACACACACACATGCACACACACACACACACACACACATATATATATATATATATGTGTGTGTGTGTGTATATAATTATTTTTATAAAAAATTATAACATAAGTATGTTATAAAATCACTACAAAAATAGCCATTTTGTTTCAACACACTCTGTGTCTTATCAAGTGATGATGTTGAAAAAAAAATAAATGGTTTTAAAAGTTTCAGATTAATTAACGATCCTACACTAGGGGAAACATTGTTACAAAAGCTAGAATAACCAATCAAAACCAAGTATAGAAAGATTCAAAAGCTTGACAACGAAATCATGTTATAATAGTTATTCAGATCTCTAGTGTAGGATCGTTAATTAATCTGAAACTTTTAAAACCATTTATTTTCTTTTCAACATCATCACTTGATAAGACACAGTGTGTTGAAACAAAATGGCTATTTTTGTAGTGATTTTATAACATACTTATGTTATAATTTTTTTTATAAAAAATAATTATATCTGCTCTACTTTGTATTGAGCACTCTTTTAAGAATAGTAATTGTTGGTTATTGGAATTCCTTCCGTATATACCAATTATATACTTGGATATATATATATATATCGATTCTCCCGTCGGGTTCGACGTATGAGGGTCAAGCAGATCAGTTTCCGACACCGGCACATGAGATTTGAATATAGTGGTGAAGGTTTCATGCAGGACCATCCACACTTTTTGAAGGGACGAATACAGAGACTTGGTGCACTAAGTGCCACAAGGTCCCCAAACGACCCTCCGCAGGTTTTGAATTCAGAGTTGTCCTTCTCCTAGAGCAGTTGCCATCCAAGGCTATAGAACCCAGTCTGTCCTGCTGGAGGGAGAAGAAGAGGATTCACACCTTTCCCAAGGGTATTAGCACGTAAGTGAATGTAATGGATTCATCCTGGATTCGAACTCGGTTCTGCGATTCCTCAATCCGAGCCGATAACCATTACTCCACTGTGCCTCCTATATATCCAGGTATGATGAGAATGAGTTCAATTCCAATGTTTGTAATATTTAATTTAAAAGAGGGCTAAATATAGAGTAGAGCAATATTATCTATTTTAGGATATTATGGTGAAAACATGTAAAAAATCCCTACACAATTGCAGTTGTGTTTCAATGTGTATCAATGCATCTCATCAGACACTTATAAATTAATGATGAGTGAATGAATCACCTCCTTTATTTTAAATTATTTGGAATCACCCTCCTTTATGGAGATAGATTATTCAAAACCTAGCCACGGCAGAGGGGACAGAAACTTGTAAAGTTGAGTTACCAAAGGGAATTAATTGAAACTGAGATATCCAAAAAAGGTATCACACGTGGAATTAAAAAATCTAGCCCCACAGACTAAATAAAGAATTTGGTTCAAAATTCCAATCGATATCACCTGAAGAAGGCTGAAATGTACAATGACTGAAATGTTGTGAATATGACAATAAAGATGAGGGCAATAGCCTGAATGATGTAAATAGTGTAAATTGTTACAATGCCTCATCTCAGAAATATAGACAGATTCTGAAGAATGCTGGAGCGTACACTGGCCGAAACATTGTGAATATGGCAAGATGAAGACAACAGTACAAATGATGTAAATAGTGTAAATTGTTACAATACCTCATCTCAGAAATATAGACAGATTCTGAAGAATGCTGGAGCGTACACTGGCCGAAACATTGTGAATATGGCAAGATGAAGACAACAGTACAAATGATGTAAATAGTGTAAATAGTTACAATACCTCATCTCATAAATATAGACCAATAATAATAATATTAACTATTATTATTATTATATTGACTATTAAATATGTCTCAAAGAAATAGTGAAGATTAAAATTTTGAGAACTCATCGTAAAATGTAAAAAAAATATACATTATACAGAGCCAAAATATTGTAAAAACCATAAAGACTCTTCAAACACATAATGCTAGCAGTTTCAGGGATGAGGAACAATGTAAGTGTTAGCCTTACACCCAAGAGGAGTTATAAATATGAGAGGGTTGAAAGAAAATGCAGAAATACCGTGAACATGGAATAGACCATATTTGCTACATTAAAACCATTATCAGTACTTTATAAATACTGTCAGTTTTACACAATCTACAGTTTTATGCAATCTACAGACCCTGTGCCATGACACCCTTTGTGTAACAAGAAATAAAACATATATGGCTACATTAAGACCATTATCAGCAGTTCATAATGACTGCCAGTTTCAAACCTCAATGCAATCTTCACACCATGTGCAACAACACCATTTGTAGGCTGCTTATATAGGGATAATAGAGATCGATTATATAAGTGATTAAAAAAAAATGTTGGAAAGAGGAAACCAGCTCATATTGCTTCTTTTGTAAGATATGACCTCTAGATTGCATGTATTTATTTATATCATATTTTTCATATAATTTTATTAGTTTTTATGTGTTGTCATTTTGCATAGCAATTATTCGATTTAGGTTATTTAGGTATTGTAGTAGTAATTTGTTTTTGTATCTGCATTTGAATAAGTCTTGATCTTTTGTTTAGGTCTTTATCTCACTCTGTAAATGTAATTATTGCTATTTCTATTCTAGTCCAATGTTACCTCATTTTGTGATTTAGCTGGTGTTGTCTTCTTATTGTCTGTTATTTTTGGAGGTTTTGGTTTGTGCTTCAGATTGCCACTGGCATTTGCATATTTTTCATTATTATTTGTATTGTTTGAGTAGATTGTATGTTTACAAGGATATTCTGTTATTTCTATATAATATTTCTAGCTTTCCTTTGTACCTTTCTGTAGCTTCATTTATTGAATTATATTTAGGCATTTATAGTACAGTGGGCATTTGCATAGTGTTCTGCAATTA